TTTTAATTTTTATCAACTTTTATTTTTATTTTATAATTTTTTTCACTAATTTTATTGCTATCACACAGGATAACAAGCCCCTGTGTGATCGCATTTGGAGGTGACAGGTTCACTTTATTGAATCTGTCCTTCCAATACAGTTCTCTGCTCTGCTCCCTGCTCTCCATTCTGAACTACCTTGCCATGGTCCCGGATCTCTCAGAAGAGTGGGGGACCCCAAAAACCACAGCGGGGAGGGAGGCAGCCAGCGGGGACACAGGCAGACGGAGGTGGGGGAGGCGAAGGGGATGGACCTGCAGGCATACTACTGTACATGTGATCTTGGCAGCTTCCCAGCTCTACATTTAGCCCTGCTTGCCTGAAGCAGGGCTAAATGTATAACTAAACTATCCGCCCGCCCCTCTATTCCCTGCCTCCCCGAGGAAAGGCTTCGTGGCCTTGTGGGAAATCCGGCCCTGGATGCAATGTACTGTATGTGTGATGTGTAGTTCGCCAACAGCTGCCATGTATCTCTGATTCTGAAAGTGTGCTAAACGTCAGTAATAAAAGTAACTAGGTAGTAAAATGTCTCAGAACAGAGAAATAAAGACAGATTACAGATGTACATGGAATTAAGTTTTCTTCACTTTTTTTTTCTTTTATCTTAAAACGTTTCAACTATTTAGGAAAAAATGTTACAATGTTTGACCCCGTTCATTTAATTACATAAATAAAAGTTCTTTATAAATATCTCTTTATAAACAATATAAATAGCTTTACAACATAAATACAATGATGCAAGGTGAGACTTTACATATAGTTCTGTCAGATCCCCTTTCCCTCCCACACCATGTATACAAGTACCCCAGGAGACCTAATCCTTGCACTGCTGGATTGGGTCTCTCTGACAAAGCTTGCGGGCTTCCTAATGCAAACCATGGAGTGAGTACAGACTTCATGTGTGCTTTGCCTATTTGGTCTAGTGTGTCTGGGACAGCTTCACTTTAACCCTCTGCATACAGACTGATTTTTGTCCAGATCTGACTATGTTGTTACCTATACCAGATAGTTACACCTGGGCAGTGGCATGATCTTATAGGCTCTGAAATCTTACATAATTGTATACATTTATTAGTCCAGCACGAGCTGGGATGACCTAGGGCTATTGTCTAAATTCACATTACTTCCTTACTAGACCATTTCTGCAAGTGCACATGTAGTGTTAGTGTATCATGTTGGCTGGAACCCCTACGAATTACAATTCCACAGCTGCAAGTCATTCTACATACAGTAATTCCCTGTTTACCTATAATAATTTGCAGCTCTGTAACAAAGCTAAAAATAAAAACACTAAAAAAAAAAAACATTCCGTGCATATCATTTAGAACATTGGAGCTTATTTACTTGGCCACAAGATCAGGATAAGACTGACATTAGACTAACAGACAGGATTCAAAATCATTAAGCAGCCACTAAAGTTTCAAGACCGACCTTTCTCCCAGAAAGCGCTACGGCCTTTTTTTTTTTTTGTAGAGCTTATCAAGCATAACTGACCTCTCTAGAAGAGGCTGGTCATTAATATAGACATGGCGGGGTGGTAACCAAAATGTGTTGCCCCATTGAAGTACCTTCAAACATTTTCTAAAGACATTGAGTTGTCAAGGGTTAAATCTCAGGTTAGAGACAGGTATGTGATGATGTAACTGTAACCTGGGGAGGATTTCCGTGCGGCTGAGACATCAACAGGCCATGATTTAGGAATGGTTTTTGTGCATATAAAGCCTAGTCACCCTACATGTGAAGAACACAAGTGAGAGTCTGCTTGGCCACCTAAAAGGTGAAGCACGTGTCTGAACACTGATATGTAAACATCTAGGCAGCCCTCGTTACAGATATGTACACAGGATGCACACGTATGGCTCTTGTGTGCTGGGAACAAAACGAAGACAGACATGTGGTAACAGCAGGTCCTACGTCCCATCGTACCGGCCCGTTCCCCCACTGCAGAATCTTTGGCTTCTGGAAACGTAAGATTCTCAGCTGGGTGTCTACACTAAGACAGGATAATGACCAGTGATCAGAAAACCGTTGTCAGTGCTGGGAGCCTGGAAGAGAAAAGACTTTGGATTAGTATTGTTATTAGTGCAAGGCAAGCCAGGTTTCTGACTTCTCTCATGCAGCACTTCAAGGCTTGTAACAGCACATGGAAAATGCAGATGGAATTATGATCCTAGTTATTAATAACATAGCCCCAGGATTTTCACTGCCAGAAGCCTGGGAAGCACAGCTCTGGCCTCAAATCATTCATTTTCCTCGAGTTGTCACTGTATTCCTCCCACAGGCTGCAAGAAAAGCCTGCACCTACTGCCTGAGTTGAAGCTGTATATTGGGTACACAGACCTCCTCAGCTCTCCCTTTCCCCTTTCTACAGGCACATAGAACACTGTTATTTATAGCCTCCTTCTGCAGGGACAGTTCTGCATCCACTTTAGTCTATGCTATACTGATGATTACAGCTGAACTCCGGGAAGACATAAAAGTACAAATGAATGCAGCTTTTTTTTAAATGCAAGCAGTGTAAGTACCTGCATGTGACTTGTTATCAACCTCTTGCAGTCCATATACAGCAGAGCTCAAAGTGGGGAAGGGAGAAGCAGCACAGGGAGCCAGTTAGTTATGCTGCAGTGCTTTGTGCTGACCAGGGACATGCTCATAGGAGGAGAGAGTAGAGTGACAGAGAGATGAGTTGGGGAGGGGAGGAGACCTGTACAATTTACTGAACTGCAGTAGAGAAAGATGTAGGTCTCCTGCACTGCCAGACAGGGCTGTGCTGTGTGGCAGAGCCGTGAAAATGTTGGGACTGGACGGAGAGAAATACAAATTATTTGGCAGGTAAAATAACCCCCATTATAATATTTTATCTGTGTATTTAGATGTTTGCCTGGAGTTCAGCTTTAATGTGTTAAATCTACACCCAGTGGTCTTGGCAAGCTATACGAGGAGCCTGCATGACTAAACCTCCCTAAAATCAACCCAGAACAGAAATATCAGTCTTGAATGGACAAAATCCTTTTACTTTTAATTGATATTTTAATCTGCATCCATGTTTACTAAGATTTGCAAATACTATAATTTAATAATGGCTGATTAGTCAGCAATGGCGGCATCAAATTCAAAAGTAAAAGTCATTTCTACATGGCCTCAGTCTACTCTACAACAGTGTTGATCCTTCCCTATGCGTGACAAACTTACATTTACTATAGTGCAATTGACATGGTTTATAGTTCAGCATTACACACTAAGGTACTGGCCTGCACGTAAACAAATACCTTTAACATTTTATTAGTAGATACAATATATACAGACAAGATGCATAAAGCTGATTGCATGCTATAATGTGCACAAAATAATAATGCTGACAGTCTGTTGTATGAAATGTGTACTATATGTATTATAGCATGCAGGAAAAAAACAAACAATATATTAGTTCTTACTAACCACCACTAGATGGCGCTCCAGCTTCTAGCACCCTAAACCACTCATGGCTCCGATGCGGTCCAGTTTTAGCCCAAAGCAACCTTTGGAGATGCCTTTCTTGTTGATGCCTTTAAATTTGCGGGAATTGGGGTGCTCGTTGAGTAGTCTGGTCCAGGCTGCCCGTGAACGGGTGTCAGCACGAATGTCCCTCAAAAGTCGGGCACGAGTTTTGGGGTCAATGCTTCGTTCTCCCCTTTCTCCAGAAACTAAATATTCGGCCAGTTCCTCCCCAAGCAATACACGAAGTGACTGCAAGAAAAAGGACAACATGATATTATAAGAATGCAACACGGGAAAGGTTCGGGGTTTCTGAGTAAGGAAAGATATGGACAATGAACTACTTATATGATTAACTGTCCTAAATCAGTTAGCCAATGGGCTACTTATATGTCTTCAATCAGTTAGCCAATGGGCAAGTTATATGTCTTCAGTTAGTCAATGGCTAGTTATATGTCTTCAATCAGCCAATGGACTAGTTATATGTCTTCAATCAGTTAGCCAATGGGCTAGTTATATGTCTTCAATCAGCCAATGGGCTAGTTATATGTCTTCAATAAGCCAATGGGCTAGTTATATGTCTTCAATCAGTTAGTCAATGGCCAGTTATATTTCTTCAGTTAACCAATGGGCTAGTTATATGTCTTCAATCAGTTAGCCAATGGGCTAGTTATATGTCTTCAATCAGTTAACCAATGGGCTAATTATATGTCTTCAATCAGTTATCCAATGAGCTAATTATACGTCTTCAATCAATTAGCCAATGGGCTAGTTATACGTCTTAAATCAGCTGGCCAGTGGGCTACTTATATGTCTTAAATCAGCCAATGGACTAGTTATATGTCTTAAATCAGTTAGCCAATGGGCTAGTTATATGTCTTAAACCAGTTACCCAATGGGCTACTTATATCAATAAGCTAGGCAATTGGCTAGTTTTACGTCATTTAGGCAATGAGCTAGTTCAGGCGATGGGCTACATCTCTTGATGTACAAGGTGGTATAGGATTCAGGTCCCCCTGCCCTAGGAAGGACTAAGATTATGTAGGACAACTTAAATTATACTTAATGTGGTCTGAAGCTCTCCTTAAACGTACATCAAGGTGTGCCACCCACTCAGGATAACTCTCATGTATTCTGTTGTCAAGGTCGTATATTAAACTTCTTGAAGGGCTTATGTACACATGCATGAGGCTCAGAAGCAAGTCAAAGGCAGTACGCTTTCGGGAGCTTCTGAGCTGCTTACACTTGCTTCTGAGCGTATTCGATTTGCCCGTTAATTGCTTCAAGCTGCTTGAGGTTCAGTTGCTTTCATGTCGGTTTTTATATGGAAGAAACCCGTTTAGATGAAAAACACTCCCCACATATATGAGTTCATCCAAATCAGATATGACACTGGCCAGGGGAACAAAATGGTATTCCCACCCTAGTTCCTGGCACACCCCAACCATGCAACCATGGGGACACTATGGCTGCAGGTAAAGTAACCGAACCCCAACGGGGGTGAGTGACACCCTTCATATTGTATTTAGGATGGGCCTTGGAACCCGGGGGCAGCAATCTCATTCATATTTTGAGTATATATATATATATATA